CAATAGCATTTTGATATTTAATTGGCACGCTTGTATTACTCACATCGTTTATATAATTGTTTCAACACTAGATATGGATAAACATTATTTTCTATTACAATGTCTGATTAATAGTAGAGAATAGTCCGAAACAAAGAAATTATTCAAATTTGCCCTCACAGGTAATCCTAATGTACATGAAATATTAAATGCAATTTTGGTGAATTATAAGATTTACGGAGGCACCATGAAGTTGTTTTATTCATTCGGCTGCAATATTAGCACTATTTATTTTCGACGCGTTGCTAATTATAGATAATACTATAATGCATTTTTAATGTAAATAGGATAATCTGTCGAGTATTAAAACAGATTGTAGAACCCTATTTTTTTTATCAGAGTTGTTTAGGGTTAAAAAACTTCAAAAATAGAATTTATATATTGTTACATTTATTAACAAAGTCTAATGACACTAAAATTTTCCAGAAATAGCTAAGTAATATCACTCAAATACCAAAAATAAAAATGAAAAAAAGATATTGATTAATATTCACTGTAATAAATACAATCAGAATATATAATTTTTATTATTTTGTTATCATTCTTTCTCATTTTGCTTTGTTACTATCCTCTTGAAATTATAGAGCGATCCGTTAATAATAAACCGCTAAAATACTTATAAAATAAATACAATATTAAAAAAAAAAATTTAGTTTTATTTCTTAATTTATCAGTTAAAATTACTTTTTAGTATAAACTTTTATATAAGGAAATTATTTCGGAAATTAAAACGATTTTAAAATTATAATTATTTTTATAGTGGCCGGTGATAATTTTTAAAAGGGTATTCCGAAGTTATTTATATTTACATACAAAAGAAGTATAGCCGACTAATTTCTAATAGTGTAAATAGTCATATACGCATCCTTTCCCAGATTACGTTTTAAAGTCCGCATAACTTCTGAACTACTACTGATCTAATAGTTGTTATCAATCATTAATTTCTAAATTAGATAATTTTCTATTTTATATACTAGATAAATGTGTATATTACAATTAGAAAAGATAAAGTTGACACTCAAATAATTTATATAGAATAAAATAATAATATAAGTTTACTCTTTCTATAAATGATTTTTAATGATAAGCTGGTTCATTTATTATCAGAATCGCTTAATTAAAAAATAATAATAATATTAAGATTGTTTTATGTTCAACTTTGTACCGTATAAAGGTGCCATATTTATTTGTTCAAATGACAATATGCATAATTAAATAACTTATTTAATTGATAAGATCTGATTAAGAAAATGATTTGTTAATATAACATTTGGACCAACATTTTGAAAGTTATAAACTATCTTTAAAAATATTTGTATTCAATAAATTGCTAGCTTTTTTTTAACTATCTAAGTTCTACGCGTGGCATTTCAAAATTATAATTCATTATTTAGCTACTATTTTTTTTCTGTAAATTTTACTTTATTTTTATAATGAAATAATTTCTTATTCTTCCAACAATTGCTAATAATATTTCTCTTTAGGAACGTTTGGAAAAAAACAGGTGGGTTTTTTCTGTAAATTTTTAATTAACAAAAAAAATCATGGAACACTGATTGAAATACTGGCATTCCCTTTCGTAAAATATAAAAAGGTCTCGAACATTAAATAAGGGATATTTGTGGACTTTAGTCCTTTCGACCAAAAAAAGGAAGAATTAATTTTGAAAAATGAGATAAAAAAATGACTCTCTAAAAGGCCACAGCCTACACACCCATCTAGTGTCCATGAAAACCATTTTGGAGTAGTAATAGTGTATGAATATCACATGTATATTTATACATACCAAAAGGGACCAAAACTATTTTATGAGTGTCTTCGAAGGGTTCTTGTGATTTATGAAATGTCTAATCAATTCCGGTTGTAAATTGTGAACACTATTTTCCATTTGCCGTTTTCAATGCAAAAATGTAGTTTTTTTTTTCAGGTTTCTTTGTCACTATTAAACTTTAATATGTTTAAAAGCTTATTTAAAGTAATGTTACAATATAGATCTTTTACGGACTTGAATTATAAATACTTATTGTTTTAAAATATGATCGTTATACATAAATGACATCTCCGTTCAGAATTTTAATTTTGTTATGACAGCGTTTTGAATTTATTACTTGGCTCTTCTATTGCTATTAAGTGCTTTTGAAATATAATTACTGAAAGGAGTATATCTATTAAATCATCGTAAAAATTGTTTTGTCGTTATCTAGTAAAATGAAATATATAAAATGATTTTGCATTGAATATATAAAGTTGTTGAAACTTGAGTAATAATAATAATAATAATAATAATTAGTGTTTGATAGCCTATTAAATTTACATTAATAAATACCAGATTTTATTCTTGAAATGAATTTTTAACGTTCATTACAATTGGGTTAACTCAAATATAATTGTTATCAATAATGTATCTGACCTGTATAACATTATGGACGATGGGCAAGTTAGAAGTGCTTTAATATCGGACACACATTAACGCGGAAATCCAATGTTTAATATATAGATGCATGTATTGTCAACCTTGGGGTGATTGTATTGGCTAGTTGTCAAAACATCCGACAATGGTGGTGATGGTGACAACTGAGCTGAGGAATAGGTAAATGCTGAAAGGTCAGAACGAGGAGTGTCTGACTTGGCTGGCATTTTGTGCGTGGATGACATTTCTGAGTGCGTATACGTTCTAGGTATTGTATTATGAAAATAAGGGTAAGTGAGTGTCATTAGAGAGCAAAGGCCGAGGCTAGGACGTGATCGAGTTGTCAACGGTTTTTGGTCAAGTCGTTAAGACGCGACGGCAGTACACCCCTCTCCTGTTCTATTCCTTGTCAACGTTATTCACCACCTTTTCCGCATGTAGTTCCTTTATGTATAACTCGTGCGCAACCTAACGAACCGGCAACTGGACGACAAGCGAAATCCCTTTGAAAAGACAAACACATACATGAAAAGACCCTTATTTGGCACACGACTCATTGGGCAGTTTTTTATTGAAAGAAAAAAGGATGAAAAGTTATTATTTTTTGTTCAAAGTTTTTATATTTCATCATATTTTATCATCGAAATCATAGCGGAAATTGTTTGAATGAGTTTTTCTTTTAGATAAATGCGTTATGTTCGATAAAATATTCATTTTATTTTTATATTCTTTGAATTTAATAATGATTTCCGTTGATCGAATTACAGTGATATGTTCGTGCTTAAAATGCCCATAGCATTTTGACTTTCTCGAACACAATATTCTATCACGAGGTAATTTAACATTAATCCATTCAAAATGTTGCACTCAAAAGTATTTTATACTTTAAAAAGTTTCCTAAGTTTATACAAAGACTAATACTGCCACATGACGTATAATCCATAAGATTAACAAACAGAAGAAAACGTGTGATACATAATCTGAATTGAAAAACCCAGCTGGGTAAAGGATAAAAATCGTTCTTTAAATAATGTTGACTAGATAAATGTCAAAAAAATGATACCTCATTCTTCAAACAACGATTTTAACGGATTTACTTGAATATATTATGCTTAATTTATTTCATCTTGTTTTGAAATTCCTTGAGCTTCTACTTTCCGTTTGAATGTAGAATAAATTGGAAAACTTTTATATAAAAAGAAGATTATTCAAATGGTTTCAAATAATTTTTATTTTTTTTACTTTATATTTTCCCAATTTATACAAAATATTTAAATAAATTATTTATATGTTAAGTTATGAAATTTTAATACAATCAAATTATACTTTACTTATTAAATTTATAGTATGATTTTAGAAATTTAATAACATTTTTTTTTCATTTTGAATGGTTTAATTTTTTATATAAAAACTTGAAATAATATACATAAATATGCATGTATAAATATATATATATATAATAGTATTTATAATAAGTGTTCATCTTTTTTTTTTGATTAAAGGTTTATATTAATGACTATGTTTAACTAATAGAGTAGTTAATAAAATTAAATTTTGAAAATTATATTGTTTCAAAACTTTGTTATAATCTTATTATCAATTAGAAAAATCACCTCTTAGTGTTTTTCAAATTTAACATTTTACAGAACCTAACTTAATGCGAAAAATTTTTTTTTCGTGGAAATGAAATTATTTAATATTGACGCTCTCATCATTATTATTGATAGATAATATTTAACAGAATGCGTCGCATCTAAATAGTATTCTCAGTACCCTTCTAGAAATGATAATCTAAATTTGCTTTTCTGTGTGTGATTTACGTGTCACCACCTTATGTGTGTGTGTTTATTTGACGGATCACTTAATACTCGACTCCACCTCCTTTCCCACCTCATAGGGAGTGTAATATTGCTTAGTATAGTATAAACTTGTATATTATTAGAACGGGAAACTAATCCGATATGCCAGGGTGACGAACGCGCCCTATTCATTTACTTCACACAAATATACATACGAGGCATCGTTATATCATTTAATACCATCGACCGGATAATGTCCTTTCCGTTTATAACACAAGTCTCTGTCACCCTTTAGTTTATATCCGATAAATTCTTTGGTTCAAATCCCAACACCCTTTGTTCTATTACAAACGAAATCAATTTCTGCCGATCTTTGAATGCGTCAAATGGATTTTCAAGTACATCATTTCCTTTTTATCGGGAGAAGATAAGTTATCTATGTGCACTTTCTCTTTCGATAGCATATATGTATTTACTATTTTTTCATCGCTACTACATTAAATAATACTGCTTGGGTTCAATATTACCTATACATTATTAATAGGCACGTCGCAAATGTTGACAGTTCACACAACGAATAAAAAGTTTACGTCACATGTTTGTGCTTATTCACACGAGTATTGAAATCCTAAATAACCTTTTATTTTATTCATTTGTTTTTTAAAACTTTACAACCATTTACAAAATAATGTTGTGTTCTATTTTTTGTCGAAAATAAACTGAATTATTCATTATTGTTTTAAAATGTATAGGTTACAGTGATTCTTTGAGAAATCCACCTGATGTACCACCGAGAAATCCTGGTACGATGAGCAGGTTGAATGGTCGGCTAAAGGGTTCCGGTTCGGGATCCAATGCCGGCACAATGGTACATTTATCGAGTGATCATCAACATCCGATGGACTTGGACTTTGAACCATCTAATTGCGTCGTAAGGACGGCGTCAGGATCTGTTTACATACAGCCAGGTAATTAATCGTTAATTTATAAAAATTATCAATTAAAAAAAATATTACCATTGGGATCATATAAGTGATCATTAAAGTTAATTTACATTTATTTAATTTAGCGAGATTCACCTTTTCATTACTCGTTGAATTATCTATGTACAGTGTGATTTATTAAGTATACTATACTCCATTTGTTCGTAAAATAATGATTTTACATAAAAATGGATAGATTTTCAACGAATTAATTTTTATAAAAATAATTATGAATAACAATTATAAATCATGTTTATTGTAAGAAATATTTGTTCATAAGAGTAGATTTTAGGGATAACTTTTGAAAAATAAATGAAAAACTATTATTATTTTTTTACTAATAAATGGGGAATGATCTATATACAATTTTTACTGCGGGGGTAATATACTTAATAAATCATATTTCATAAAAATGTATGTCAGTCTATCATTTATGCATTACTACGCCATTCATTGGATTGCCATGAAACTTCGCAAAATTATTGAGTACACTCCTGCGAAAGTTACTGGTATAGTACATCTATCCTACAATAAGTGGCAGTTTGCAGTAAAATCTGACGTGTGAACTACTAGTTATTCAAAATAATGTTAAATAATACATGACTGTTTTTACGTAAGAAATTTAATGATTTTTGTTCATTATTTTATGAGTTTTGTAGATAAATATGGAGAAAAACGTGATAATAACACACTGATATCTTTTAATAATTATATAGTTCAATTAATACATTTATATCAGAAGGGAGGGGCTAGTTTCTAAATAAATTTACCTATACATTAAAATAATAGCTAATTACATAGCCATTATTGAGTAATATAATTTATTTTAATGATTAATTAATATTATATTATGAATATACCAAGTTACGAATAAAAGTATCGTCAAATGGATCATCATGGAGTGATGATTTAACTTTGGGCAGTTCAAAAATGTACAGATGTCATCATTTAATTATTGTCAACAAATATTTTGTACTTGTTAACAATACTAGTAAACATTTTACTAGTGATGTATATAGCTTAAATGATAATAGATACTTAACATGTGACCCATTTGACGGATTTATTTATTTAATATTGTATACATATATTGCAATTCAAATTTGTGTAAATCAATAGTTTGTATTTTTATTTACAGATATGACAAAAAGTGTATTGGACTATAAAAATACGTCTTCTTGCAGTAGTCCATCTAAGACTGATATACATAAGTCAACTGAGAGGTTAGTTAATTAATAAATAGTTTTATAATATTGCCTTAATGAAGGGAAGTGTAAACATTAAAAACTATATAATAAAAGAATGCGTCATAACATGTCGTTGTTCATAGATTTAATTGTATATTCTTCTTAATTGTTTAAAACCGAAATTCCTGTTTAAAATATTTGTAGAGTAACTGTATGTAGAATCACTATAATTCATTTAATGTTATAAGCTATTAATTTTCCCGTTAACATAACCTACAAATATTTCCAAAGTGATTAATTTATTGTTAACCATTAAATTTCTTCTAAAATAATTATAATAAAAAAAAATCTGCTTTATCTAGTAATATTTATTTCTCAATTTATAAATGATCAAATATTATTTTGATCTATACCTTTCCCTTATAAGGGTATGAACATTATTTTTAGCTTCGATGCGAAGGTGAGAAGGTATTGGTTTTACTAAGATGTGTTTTTTTTTTTTTTTTTTTTTTTTTTTTTTTTT